CTCCCCCTCCCCCTCCCTCTCTCTGAGATGATAGTATGCAGATACATATTTTATTACGCTATCTCCCTCCTCCCATCAGACCATGGATCGGTTCTTCCAATGGCTACAAGAAGCTGAGGCTCACGGGGTGTCACACAACACTTTTTGCTCCATCTGGGAGAAGGAACAGCAGCTGCTTCAGCAGAAGGAGGAGAGTCGACAGCTAGAGTTGAAGCTTGGACAGAAGAACAACTCTGGAAATAAGCAGCAGGTATGCTATGTGGTTGTTGTTGTTGTTGTTGTTGTTGTTGTTGTTGTTGTTGTTTTTGTTGCTGTTGTTGTTTTTGTTATGGTTGTTGTTGTGGTTGTGTTTGTGGTTGTGTTTATGGTTGTAGTTGTGTTTGTGGTTGTAGTTGTGGAAGCTGTTGTGGTTGTGGAAGCTGTTGTTGTTGTAGTTGTGGTTGTTGTTGTGGTTGTGTTTCTGTTTGTGGTTGTAGTTGTGGAAGCTGTTATATTTGTGGTTGTTGTTGTTGTTGTGCTTGTACTTGTGGTTGTGGTTGTAGTAGTTGTTGTGGTTGTTGTTGTGGTTGTGGTTGTTACCATTCCTGTAGTGATTGTGTTCATTTTTGTTGTTGTTATTGGTGGTGGTGGTGGTGATGGTGTTGTTGTGATTGTTGTTGTGATTGTTCTTGTTATCAATGTTGTTTTAGTTGTTGTTGTTGTTGTTGTTGTTACCATTGTTAATGTGGTTGTTGTTACTGTTGTTGTACTTGTTGTTGTTACTATTTTTGCTGTGGGTGTTGAACTATAAATCAACTTCTCTGTCTACTTGTGGAGGGGGTGGAGACTGGTTTGTTTAGTTTGTTTTTTGTTGTTTGTTTGTTTTTTGTTTTTTCTTTTGCACCGCAACTGTGGATGTGAGCCAGATGTACTGCCTTTGGATCTAGACTTACTTGTTGCTCCTCTAGGGGGGGGGGGGTCTCTTTCACCCCGTCGATCCGTCTCTTTTCTCGGTCTTCCTCTTGCTTTTCTGTACGTGCATACAATTTTGCGTCTCATTATCATAAAACATCATATCATAGGTGTCGCAAGAAATCCACTTAAGTCCGTTTTGGGCATATTTTAAACGTCAGAGACCCCCCCCCCCAAAAAAAAAACAAAAAAAACCTAGTTTTTGTTGTGTTGTTCTTTTTAAGACTCATGAAAAGCAAGAAGATTGTAAACCTTGACCATAGCACTTTTTTATGTTGAAAGGTGCATCTTTTCTTTGATAGAGTTTTGAGAGGGTGTAAAAATTGAAAATTCTAAAAATGTGGATTTAAGTGAATTGCTTGTGGCAGCTACGATATAAAAAATAATTCTTTATACTTGTGCATGCACGTGTATGTTTTTCTGTTTGAACCCAATACGTAATTATCTCAAAAAGAATTCTGAATTCACTTTTTTTCTCACTTCAGGCATCAGAAAGTAATGTCTGCCTCCCTCTGGAGCAGATGATGAATGCCCACTTTGAAGAACAGAAGTCACAAATGAGAGGAATACGACGACAATTTCAGTCCTACGAAAAAGAGTTTGTCGGGGTGAAGGAACAGCTCACAAAAATTACCTCCAAACTGCTGTCTGTGGAAGGTGTTCTCCAGAAAATGCAAGCTCAGCGACCTGCAGAGATGAAACGTCTGAAAAAGGTTGCCTCCACCCTAGCGAGACTCGAAGACCACGTTTTACAACGTGAAGCCGGTGATGTTTTTACTGAAAACTCGATCTCCGCAAAAATGCACCCAAAAAAGCAGTCTGTTGACGATTCAGTCATGAACGTGCAAGATAAGCAAACTGAGGATGTAGGTTTCAAACTGAAGAATGTTTCCTCCACCCTAGGGAAACTCAGACTCAAAGACCGCTTAGATCAACAAGGTGAAGCGGGTTTTTACATGAAAGAAAACCCGGACCTCGCTAAAGTGAACTCAAAAGAACAGTCTGTGGACGATTCAGTCTTGAACGTGCAAGATAAGCAGCCTGAAGATGTAGGTTCTAGTCCGAAGATCAAATTCTCCGAACTTTTAGAGTCATTGGGTTCGATTGAAAACTCAACATCTTCCTCCCCTGCCCCCGTCAACGACCTGCATCCCACCGGTAAAGTCTATGTCTGTCCCTTGTCTCCTCTTGCCCTACCATTTCACCCCTCCCCTCTGCCTGTCTAGAATCAGTAGTAGCAGGCCTATGCTAGAAGCAGCCAGAGAGCCTACAACTGCTAGATCTAGATCTAACTTATTATTGCTATGCCTTTGG